TTTTTTTTGAAGACCCCTGGGGTGGGAGCCAGCACCACTTCCCTTGGAAGTTGGTTCCAGCTCCTAGCCGCCCTGACTGTGAAGTAGCGCCTCCTGATGTCTAGCCTGAACCTACTCTCAGTCAACTTATGGCTGTTATTGCTCATTACTGCCGGTAGTGCTCAGGGGAACAGGGACTCTCCCATTGCCTGCTGGTCCCCCTTGGCCAGTTTGTAGACAGCCACCAGATCCCCTCAGCCTTCTCTTGTGAAGGCTGAACAGGTTCAGGTCCCATAGCCTCTCCTCATAGGGCCTGCCCTGCTGATCCCTGATCATGTGAGTGGCCCTCCCCTGGACCCTCTCAATGCTGGCCACATCCCTCCTGAAGTGTGGCGCCCAGAACTGGATGCAGTACTCCAACTGCAGCCTGACCAGTGCCGCATAGAGGGGGAGGATCACCTCCTTGGACCTGCATCTATGCATCCTTGAGATGCATCTGTGGATGCATGACAAGGTACGGTTGGCCTTCCTGAACGCATCCCCACACTGCCGGCCCATGTTCATTTTGGCATCAATAATGACTCCAAGATCCTTTTCTGCCTCTGCACTGACGAGAAGGGAGTTCCCCAGCCTGTAGGTATGCTGCTGGTTCTTCCTCCCCAGGTGCAACACCTTGCACTTGTCTGTACTGAATCCCATCCTGTTCTCATCCGCCCACCCCTGTAACCTGTCTAGATCTAGTTGCAGCCTGTCCCTCTCCTCCAGCATGCCCACTTCTCCCCACATCTTAGTGTCATCCAGGAATTTGAACAAGGTGCTTTTCACCCCCTTGTCCAAGTCACTAATGAAGATGTTGAACAGTGCGGGCCTGAGGACCGAGACCTCGGGGACCCCACTGCCCACATCCCTCCAGGTCAAAAAAGACCCGTCCACCACCACTCTCTGGGTGCGGCCCTCCAGCCAATTTGCGACCCATCTGACTGTGTAGGCATCGACGTCACAGTCTCCTAGTTTTTTAATGAGAATGAGATGAGAGACACTGTCAAAGGCCTTTCTAAAGTCCACCGCGACACCTGCATCCAAGGATTTTGTGACCTGGTCGTAGAAGGCCACCAGGTTGGTCTGACAGGACCTGCCTCGAATGAAGCCATGTTGGTTGCCCCTAAGCATGATCTCCCCTGCTGCTCCCTCGTAGATGTGCTCCTGGATAATTTTCTCAAAGAGATTCCCCAGGACTGACCTGTAGTTTCCTGGGTCCTGCTTCCTCCCTTTTTTGAAGAGGGGATGGAGGGCCTTAAAAAAAAGCTCTTCACACAGACCCTGTTCTCTTCCTTTCATCAAATGTCATTACAGGTCCACTTTGCACAAATGCAACCTGTCTTGTTTCAACCTCATGAGCTTGAGTGTACACTAGTAAAAGCCCCAATCCTCCCAATCAGATCCATGCATGCAGAAACCTAGGCTAATGCCAGTCCCATGGAAAGATCAGGACCTGCATTTGCAAAGCTAGGTAATTTTTATGCCAGCTCAGTGTCAGCTGTGCTTTACATCTCTGTGCATGGTTACTTTTGGTACCATTGCCTTCAACGACTAATCCCTTCATTTTAAATACATTTCTCCACAATGTTGACATGGCTTCTTGTAATGCCATCAGGCTGACATCCACAGTCACCTTATAAGAAACAGCCCCTCATTTAGACATGTGTTATGCCCTAATGTACCTTACACTAATCCAGCCCCTGGCTGTTACTGCCAACCACGGAGACGAATCCAATCCACTGGACATCAAAATTCTTCATTCTGTACATTCCAGCTACTATGGGTTTTTGAAAAAGTGGCTGGAATTTCATACCACAAGGAGACCAATATCACTAGCTTGAGGAAGAAATTGCACAACACTAGGGCAAACCAGACAATATTTCCTATTTGACCCTGCCACAGCAATTCAATTTGATCAGATGTGACCCTGCTACTCCAGTCTCTTCTGATTAGAGACTGCCAGTGGTGCTCACTGGGTGTATCTACACAAGATGCTTTACTGAGCAATAGACTAATCTACTGCACAGTAAACCATCACTATCTACAAGTGTGCAGCATTTACTATGCAGTAAAATAGTCTACTGCACAACTGGCCACTACCTGTAGATACAGGTAGCAGATTTACTGTACCATAGCTACTGCGCAGTAATACACGCAAATTGCTCCCGATCAGCCCAGGCAGCAGAAAGCGGGGAAACTGTCCCATCCCTCCGCAGCTGCCTGCTTCCCAGCCCAGCAGATCAGGGCATGGTGCTAGGAAATTGTCCCCTGCCAAAGGCAGCTGCTTGCTTCCCAACCCCATGCCCTGATCTGGTAGTCAAGGCGAAGGGCTGGGAGGCAACTGCCCCAGAGGCAGGACAGCTCCCCACACCCCCTGGAGACCAGGCTTGACCCTAATGTCCCCTGCCAGCCCAGGGCTGGCATCTGGGGGAGGCTGGCTGCTGTAGAGGGCCAGAACAGGACAGGAGTAGCCCTGCACTGAACTGCTCCCATTGGAAGCAAATTTGCTCACGGTGGGTACACATCTAGATGCACTCCCAGTGAAAGCTTATTGCACCTTATTTTACTGTGCAGTAAGCTTAAAGTGCATTAATACCACATGTAGATGCACCCACTGTCAGCTAACCCCAAAAGCTAGGGAACTTGAAGAGAGAAATCCTACACTGACCACATCTATACATGCCTGGCAAAGCATTTAGGTAAGCCACATCCTATAGCAGGGCTCAGCGCCATACAGCCCATGAGCCGGATCTGGCCTGTGGAGCAGCGGGGCTCTGCCTACAACTGCTCACATTAGGGTTGAGCAGCAAGAAGCTATCCTAGAGCAGGGGACTTAGAAGCAGCACCCATGCTGCTGCTATTTCTCTTTGTCCTCCCAACCTCCTCCCCTGAGGCTGCAGTGTGAGCACAGCTCTCAGCTGTAGGGGAGCAGCACTAGGGCTGGGGATCTGGAAGCTGTGCCCATGCCTCTGCCTCTGTCTTCTGGTCCTTCCTTCCGTCTCCCCATGGCTGCAGTGCAAGCACAGCTTCCAGCTGGAGAGGAGCTGAGCCAGGATCAGGCTGGGTAAAGGGAAGGGAACCAGCAGCAGCAGCTGCATGGCAGCAGCTTCCAGATGCCAGGCCCCAGTGCAGTTCCTCTCTGGCTGGAAGCTAAACTGTGCTTGCACTGCAGCTGGGGAGCTGGGAGAAACAGTGGCAGCACTTGCAGTTCCAAGTCGTATGGCTCCAGCGGGGGCACTACAAAAGTTGTCCTGCCACTGATATGCCCACCAAAGCCACCCAGACCAAACTGGGCCACGGACGAGGTGTCCCACCCTGCGGCATGCAAACTTTCCCAATCCCTGATCTATATGATGCGCAGGGTATTTCACAGCGCATGAAGAGAGACACAAGCAGGGAGGAATAGCCAGTGGTACCTACTTCCCTTGTTTCCAAGGCTCTCTACAGGAGCGGATATACTTCTACAAGTGCTAAATTCTGGCTGCTGGTTACAGGTGGCCCTCCATGTCAACAGCCAGAATATAAACAGCTCTTCAAAACATCAGCATATTCTGCCATTAAGCCCGGAGAGCTAAAGCAATCCTGCTACCACTGCTGAAGCCTTCCCTGTCAGAAGTCAATGCCAGACGGTGCACAACACAGCTGGCTCTCTCAATCGCCACCATAAACTATATACAGTATGCATAGTCCTGCAACAACCCAAGCTGCGATTGCTGCTCAAAAGGCATTCCTGCCCGTACAGCTGAAGGGATGGCGAGCCTCCAGGGAACGATGCTGCAGTGTGCCCAAGTACCAGAGAAGGTGAGTGCCAGCGCTGGAAAGCTGTGCTGAAATACAAGCTAGATTTTTCAAAAGCACCTAGGGAGGTGCGCACCCAACCCCTCTTAATTTCTATTGGGATTCAGTGCCTAACTCCATGGTCTTTTGAATATCCCACCCACTGATGGAATTACAATGGCCTCAAGGAGTTTTGCTAAGACAGAGCAGAAGAGTGATGACTATTTGTGGTTTCTTTTAAGACAGAAAATCATTTTCCCCTCCAAAACAGGAGAAACAGGTCCGCACAGATTCACTATCTCTAATACCAAGATTGTTTTCATATACTGATAAATACAGCAAAAGCGTGATTATTTAGCACATCTGTGAGGCTAGAATGCTTTCTCCTGAGTCCTCAGACTATCAAATCTTCCTGACATGCATTTTACAAGAAGCTATGTACATCTTGTCTAAATTAAACAGCCTTTTATTAGGTTGTAACCAGAGGGTCTCTTTCTCTGCACAACCCTGAAATCCACTGGACTGAATCCGTCTAGGCAAAAATAAAATACGAGTTTGGAAGGCAGTGGTTTTGACCCTTCAAAGTCCAGGGTTCAAACCTGAACTGAATGCTGCACCCATTTTCTCCAGGGTAACAATACTGAGATAATAACCACTCAATCGGTCCACATAAGAGTGAAACTCAGTGCTGCAAATGCACCAGTACAAATAAATGCCATTCAGAGATAAGCAGCAGCAGTTGAGAAGCTCAGTCACTGCCCGAGTGTTTACTTCTGAAAAGCAGCAGGCCAGTCTGGCTCCAATAGTGGTGAATGGGCAAACTCCTGTGAACTCCAGGGCCACAAGTTGGGTGCTAGGCTGCCTGCTAAAATGTCTGGAGCCTCCTGTTTCAGGTCAGACTAGACATACCAAAGGAGTGCTCTGGGAATCCTGCCCAAAAGCAGAAAGTGCAAACACATTCAAAAAAAGAAAGGTAATTTGCGGGGGTAAAGAGGAAGTTAACAGACCTTTCTCCACCCAGTCTCAGGAAAGGGCTGTTTCAAGTGGTTCCTTATTTTTCTTGGAGCTGCTTCATCCTTCAGGAATAACAGAGACTTCATTTAGGAACCTGATCCTGGGCGGTGTCGCAATCTGAACTCTGATGACTGCTGCAGGGGAGCTGTATCTCATAGAATCAGCCTCCAAAGCAGAAGAAACCTTAAAGCAACACGTGCAACTGGTAGATAGGTCATTTGCTTTCTAGGGAGAGGATCCTGTGCAGTACTGTAGCAAGGGGGGAGTAAGCGGGGTGACCGCCCCGGGTGCCGAAGCAAAGGCGCGCCAACAGGCACTGCCCAGCCGGGGCGGAGCACAGGATGGAGCCGCGAGTGGCTTTTTTTGTGGGGGGGGGGGGGGGGCTGCGCCTGCGTCTGGGATGGGGCCGCGAGTGGCTTGTTTGTGGGGGGGGGATGACGGCTCCCGCTGCTCTGTGCAAACCCAGGCAAGCATGGGGGGGTGCACAGGGTGAGGGCAGGCTGCTGCTGTGGGCTTGCCCTGGGCACCAAACTTCCTTGCCACGGTACTGATCCTGTGGCATTTCTTTCTCACTTCTGGAATGGTGGTTTAGGGAAATCAGGCTCTGCAGCCATCTCCACCTTCACTATTGCTGCATCGCACCAGAAGCTGAAAAGGGGTCTCTTATTACGGGCCAAGGTGGCTGTCGTTTGAGCCTCACAAAAAAAGTACATTGAGAATCGAATGTGTCTGAAACCCAAGCTCTTCTGAAAATGACAAATTTCAAGCCTGTTTGAGTTACTAATGAGAGCATGTGGCAGTGCAGGACCAGCACAGCAAGCAGCAGAGTTAGCTTGCAAGGAACACTGACCTCATAAAATATTTAAGCACGTCGTGTTGACCACTGACAATACAATATTGTAAGACTGAACAATGAACTGCAATGCAATAAACACGGTTCTTTCCCAGCCCTTCAGCGGATCCGAACCTTGTGTAGAGGAAAGAAAAACAAAACACTCCGCTCAAAAATACGTCCCCTAATCTTATGGCACGTGACCTCAAAGGTATACCTGTAACACTCAGCATATTTACATTAAAAACAGACCAAATTAAATTGTGTAACTATTTAGGCAGCGTACACAGCTTGTGAGGCCACCAAGCTTCTGGAAAAAACATATAGCCTGGGTAAGATGGAGACCCATGAAAAACAGACACTGAAAACAAAACTGTCACAACCCAAAGTTGTGGGGTTTTTTTGTTTGTGCGCGCTTCGGTATCGCTAAATCATGTTCCCGCCAAATTGCAGCTCTTTTGCACGGTGGAGCGTTCTGTTGCAATTAAGAACCCGCGTGCAGGAGTTTTTCCCACCAGTTCTGTAGCCTTCTTTGCATAGTGCATTCCTTTTGCATTATGGTGATGCACAATGCAAAGGAGTTCCTGCCATTTGTATTGAGATTTCTGCCACATTATTGGCCAGTCTTAATATAGGCACACATGGCGGCTAGCTATTGGCTTGCTAGCCGTACAAAAGGCTTGGGTAGTTTCCGCCCAAGTCGGAGAGAGAGAAAGCACGTGGAGTTCGGGAAAGGAGCGTGAGGATTTCTAAGCGCTGCTGATCCCTACGAACCCAGCTTTTTCCTTAAGAGGGCAACAGAGGTTTACTTTGTTGAACCCACGGAGCTTCAACAACTCCGGGGGACCTATTTACCGAACCCTCGGAGCCTTAACAACTCCGAGGCACATAACCTCTAGCCTCTCCCCGTCGCCGATCGCAGTCCAGACGTATCCGTATCCTATGGACCCAATTGTCGAACCCACGGAGTCTTAACAGCTCCGGGGGACCTGGGAACCGAGTAACCCACGGAGATACAGCTGCTCCGTGAGAACGAATTATTGAACCCGTGGAGCCTAAACCACTCCGGGGTCAAGGAACCGAGTCTATCAGAGTCCTCCACCGAGAACTCAAGCGGAGCTGTGCCTGGAAAGCTGACCAGCCTACACCGCAACCACCTTGGGTGTAGGTAAATAATCTTTTCAATCAACCATTACGCCTCCGTGACTGATTCTAGCTCGAGCGTACCATACCGCGCCGCGGTTCTCTCCAGCCCCGCGTGCCCGGGCTGCCGGCCACGGCCTGTGTGCACAAAGACGGGCCCGGCTCGCCCCCGAGATTGGGGGCCGGCCCGCACAAAAACGTGCGGCACCTACCTTCAATTGAGAAGGTAAGTAATCAGGGTTCTCCTTTGAAGCTGGGCAAAACAAACAAGCCTGAACTTTAATAATTTATAACACCTCCACCCCTGCCCAGGCATTCGATGAGCACCAATATAAACAGATTAAAATACAACAAAAACAAGTTTAAATGTGCCGTCTGAAAATTCAAACAGCTAAAGCCAATTATCTGACAAGATCAAAACCGGGATGAGAAGGTCTGGTCACAGATTTCATGTACTCTTTGTACCTATGATACATTGCTCCAGCACATTACCCAACCTAGAGACAAGGGTTTACAAACCAAGGACAAAGCTAAAGATGCTGCTTTCCTTCATCTCACCAACCTCAAAACAACAATTCCCAGTAGAAACAGGGCCAGCAGTGATCTTTCCTTTTAATAAGCTATCCAAGCAAGAGAAGGGGAGGAGTATTTAGGTGCCTCAAGGTTAGGCATAAAGAGGCTGCATTCAGGGAATAGCAAGTTCCACAGCATACAGCGGAGCCTGCCTAAGTCAGCTTTGTCTGCTTACTCAGAAGACACCGGTGGGGAACTTCCATGGTGGGTGGTGCCTTCCAGGAACATGTCCATCAGCATGACTATCATGTAAGTTTTGTCATAGGCTCTGATTAAAAGGTTTAAGGAAGTACTGCCTGCTTCTAGAGAGCCAACCCTTTCATAGACAGTCAACAGGAAGTTTAGTCGATGGACTGTGTTCGCAATGACATTACTGATCATCTTTAAAACTATCACTTGGAACACTGCATTTAATGGTTTGGGATTTTTAACATTACAGCTCACCTAACAGTTGTATTAATGAAAGCTGAGGCCTTTGTCTCGTGTATTCCTTATTCAGAAACTCTTTCTGATCCTAGTCCACACTCTTAGTTCCTGTTCTGTTAACATTGGGGCTGTCGTGCTTCTTTCTGAAGAAGAGTTGCTCCACTTGTCATGAGATAACTAATTAGGGAATGCACACAAGGACTAACTCTCTGAAGCACATGCTCTATAAGATGGGCAGCTGCAGGAGAAGCATGCTACTCTACTTGTTTTCCTGATCAATCTTCTTCTACCAAACCACAATATCATGATGAGCAATTTAAAACCACTTACTTCAGTTTTAAAACACAGATACGCATCTCATTTATTCCCAGGGACAAAAAATAATCACTTACTTCTACTTGGACTTCACATGTCATGACCTCTAGCTGTCATTTCCTATTTAGTGTACCCATTTAACCATTGATCTATCTTTCTGGAAATGGTGGGTGGCTGAAGACAATTTATCTGAGGATGTTACAACCCTGGGAAGACTCCAATTATTGTCTTTAGTCCTAAGAATCTCTCTTTGCCAGCCACTCACACACTAGTGAAAAATGTCTAAACAAAAATACCAAAGATGACATTACAATTGGTGTAACAGACTTCTGTGTCATGAGCTTTAAGCTTCATGCACCATCTGAGAGTTCATTTTCCAGAGCCCTGGACGCTAGCATTCGGATTTTAGAAAAAATACTATACTAAGGCAGGCAGGGAATAAGTTTGAGCAGCTACAGCAGTGGAACAGTTTTATGTTTTGAAAATCTAACTAGACATAGGCCTGAATCAATTAAATCTAGCTCTGAACTTCCCAAAGTGTCCAAAGTGTTCAGATTTGGAATCCTGATTCAATGCATTATAAATATGCCTGGCTATCGAGGTTGGAACTAAAACAAAACATTCAAGTTCTTCAGTATTGAGATCTGTATGTACGCGAGTATATTCACCTATTTACAGGGTTAATAAAAAACAAGCACAAGCTTTTTTAAACAACAAAAAAGTAAAAGGCTTCCACTGCATGTGTACCTACAAATATGTGAGAGAGAACACAGAGCCTAATGTACTATTATAGTTTAGCACTCACCAGGCACAGAGACCTGGAACAAAAATGCAATCATAAGGCTGAAGAAGTGACTGAGACAATCCTGGTAAAAAACAATTTTGTTCCTTTGGATGATGGAAAACTAGAATGATAAACACTTAACAAAAAAAGGACTCCAAATGGAAATACAAATGCCTGTACCACTCCAACCTCACCTGCACTAGAACTGCCAAGCTCTGCTAGCGCTGTCCTGATTTATTTATAAACTACAATTTGATTCAAGTCCTGAAGAGGAATGAAAAATTAATGTTATTGCAGAACAGGCTGTTAAAAAAAGGTGATGCTTGGGTGCCACTTGTGCAACTCGAAATATACACTTACATTTTCTATTATTAAGCTTTCTATATGTGACGCACCTGTCACTAGGGCACGGGGCTAACAATTCCACGTAACATTCTAGCACCAGTTTCAAGCCAACATCCAGAGCAGAATAAAGAGCTTCCATTAATTTAGATGGAAGCCGGCTGAAATCCCAAGAGGTAATCAACTTCCTATGAAATTTGAATGAGTCTTTCCTTAAAGAAGTCTACGTGCTTGTAAGGTAGTTAGAAAGGACTCTGAAGTCCAAAGGAAATTAACTATGACTAGAATCTAAAACAGAGTGGGCAGGGGTGTGTGTGTGCGCGCGCGCGCATGTGTGTGTTTCTATATATCTATATATATATCTCACTCTCTATATCTATCCTGAGTCACACATGCCTACTTGTCTACTTGTACTCCAAGGATTCATAAGGGAAGGCTGCATTCTGGGATATGTCAATTAAAATTAAGAATGAAATAACTCTGTGCAGTGGTGCTGAATGGCATTTTCTCTCAAGAGACTGCAAGCCCAAATTGAGATTTCAGCACTGCAATCTTCCATTTATATACTTAATGCCTTACTTTTCCAACAACTTTATCACCACTAGTCACAACTGTTTCAATCCTTCACTAAATTCAAAGGCAGGTTA